GCAGGGTCCTACGCCTTTTCAAAGAGGGAACTCCTGAGAGCAGCTATGTTTTGATCCCCACTGTTTGAGGGAATAATAAAGGAAATCATAAACTCACTCACCATCTTAGATGATTTTGTATTTTATCGGTTCACAACAGCATCGAAGTAGATTAGAAAATAGCAGTACATGTGTGGAACACACATGTTTTTTGCACCTCTACATAAGGCTTGGCACCCCTTGCCAGAACTCCACAGCCCCTGTGGGATCCCAGAATCACAGCTTTCTCTACCACATTCTGTGCAAGTTTTCAAGTTCTTTGAACGGCATACCTGCTCAGTGTTCTCCAGTCTGATGTCCTCACATCCCAACACTTAAACAGTTTGCCCAGTGGCTCCTTCTTTGTCTCTCTCGATGTCATCACTCTTGCTATTCCCTTTACCTAGGTGGCTTCCTCGCCCACTCTTAACTGCCTGACTGTTCTTTAAGATCTGCCTCTTCCAAGAGTTTTCTTTGTATCATCCCCACAATCAATACGCTCTTGGACCTACTTTGAATTCCCCCTTCAGCATGGTTAAAAATACGGCTTCAGGCCTCATTCCATTACTGGCTGCATGAACTTGAACAAATGGCTCCACATTTCTTTTTCCTTTTTTTAACTAGCTCAAGTCTGGGAATTGATCCACATATCTGAGTCTGTTTTTGTCCTCTGTAAGATGGGAAAAGTGATAGACCAAGGTTAACTAACAGAGTGTAGTAAAGCACTTAGCATAATGCCTGGCACATAGTAAGGGCTCAATAAATGTTAATTATTATTAGCATAATCTCCCAACTCTAAAATCCACCATTTGTAATAAACTCCCAACTCACACTCTCATTACCAATGGTTATTACCTCTCATTTTAATCTTTCCAGTCCAATAACTGGAGAGAACACGTTTTCTGTTTCACTTTACAATTCTGTTTTTTTGTTTGTTTGTTTTTTAATGGGACGGAGTCTCCCTCTGTTGCCCAGGCTGGAGTGCTGTGATGTGATCTCAGCTGATTGCCACCTCCGTCTCCCAGGTTCAAGCAATTCTGCCTCAGCCTCCCAAGTAGCTGGGATTACAGGGATGTGCCGCCACGCCCACCTAATTTTTATATTTTTAGTAGAGACAGGTTTTCACCATATTGACCAGGCTGATCTCGAACTCCCAACTTCAAATGATCAACATCTTTGGCCTCCCAAAGTGCTGGGATTATAGACATGAGCCACTGCTCCTGGCCCAACTTTACAATTCTCTATTAGTGATTATAAGTATCTTTTCAGTCATTTAGAATCTATGTGTATTTCTTCTGTAAGCTGCCTGTTATATCTTTGGCCCATTTTTCTGTCCTTCAGAAGATGTTATTCAAATATTTTTCATTTTTAAACTTTTTGATTATAGAAATAATATATAAACCCATTCCTGTTGTAAAAAGATTCAGACAATACACAGGAGGTAATAGAGACCAAAACACAGTTTCTCAGCCAGGTGCAAAGAAACCCAGCCTAGAAGCCAGTATTTAAGCCTTATTTGGGCCGAGCATGGTGGCTCATGCCTGTAATCCCAACACTTTGGGAGGCTGAGGCGTGTGGATCACTTGATGCCAGGAGTTCAAAACCAGCCTGGCCAACATGGCGAAACCCGATCTCTACTAAAAATACAAAAATCAACCAGGTGTGGTAGCACACGGCTGTAATCCCAGCCACTCAGGAGGCTAAGGCAGACAAACAGCTTGAACCCAGGAAGTGGAGATTGCAGTGAGCCACGATAGTGCCACTGCACTTCAGCCTGGACAACAGAGTGAGACTGTGTCTTAATAAATAAACAAACAAACCTTATTTGTAACTCAAAAACTAGGTGTCCTAATTTTTGTTTTATTATCATCACCATAATAATCACAGACATTATAAGCCACCTCAGATCACTTTTGAAAAGAGGAAGCTCTAAAATAATAGTTATCAGTCCCACCAGTTGCTAGGGTGCTTCATTTTGACAGAGGGACTGGGGATTGGGAGTATACTAAGTCTATGGGAATTGGGTCCCATGGTCTGCCCTCTGGGCTTAGCTCAGCTTGGTCTGAAGAGATTAATGAGCCCTCTACATCCACCACGCTAGGAGACAAGGACTTTTGGTAAGGACTGCTCAAAGGGCAAGAGTATGCTCTAGGACCAAATGAGAAGAACCCCTTACCTCAGGCTAATGCTCCTACTTCATCCCTTACAGTATGCAGCTGACCCCCAGGACAAGCACTGGCTGGCTGAGCAGCATCACATGCGGGCAACAGGGGGCAAGATGGTAAGCATTATTCATATGTGCCATTGCCAGGGACCCACCCCACCTGGGAACCAGGATTCTGGCTGTGGGTGACAGCTTACCTCCAAATCTGATTTCCAAAGCCTGACCAATGTGAGAAGAGAGACTTATAAGGCCCATTTCTTCATGCTAAAGAGCACATTGTAATCCTCAGGTTCCCTTCCCTGTTCTTAGGTCTCCCTCTGCCACCTCACCCTTTCACCATGTTCTCCATGTTGGTCACACTGGTCTCGAACTCCTGACTTCAGGTGATCCTCCCACCTCGGCCTCCCAAAGTGCTGGGATTGCAGGCATAAGCCACCACACCCAGCCCCACAGAGGCTTTCTAATGTGACAAACATCTCTTCTTATATGTTAACGTTCACAAAAGGGCCCTCACCCACTGTAGATCAAGGCATTGTGACAAAGTATTTCTACAGGCCCCAGTACAATACAGGCCAATTACTAGACAGCAGGGCAGTTACCATGTTTTCTATTTTGCTACGAAGTTCTAAACCAAGTTATCTTTGTCCTCAGAGGGAGCATATGGTTTCCTCTTCCTGATTTCCTGTTTCCATGTATATTTTGCTGACGTTCTTTGCCATTTTGTCATAACCAACCTTGGGTCCTTTCATGCACTTGATCTTAACCAAAAGGTGGAGGAGTAATAGCAGGTCCCTTTTTTCCTTTTTTTTCTTTACTTTTTTTATTTTTATTTTTTAAATTTTTTCTCCATACCAAGAGAGAAATGGGTCCTTTTTTAAAAGAAGAGGCTATAAATAAGTCACCATTCCCTACTCTCCCACCCATAAAGCATCTACTTTAGTAAAAGATTGTCTCAAGGAACCATTCCCATCTCTCCCCACTTACTCTTCCTCACTACATTGCAGACCACATCCCCCTCTTCCACCTAGTAGCAGGCCTTACATTAAGCAGATGTTTAATGAAGTGTTACTGAGTTGGAGTGAAATGAATCAGGCAGTGACCACTCTCCCTTCTGCCCCAGGCCTACCTCCTCATCGAGGAGGACATCCGGGACCTTGCTGCCAGTGATGACTACAGGTAAGACCAGTGGGCCCCCCCTTCTCCCCCTGCCTCAAAGTAGCCCCAGGATGAGGCAGGACCTACATCCTCACTTCCCCCAACTTCCTCCTCCATTGTCTGTTCCAGAGGATGCCTGGACCTAAAGCTAGAAGAATTGAAATCCTTCGTCCTACCTTCCTGGATGGTGGAGAAGATGAGAAAGTATATGGAGACACTACGGACAGAGAATGAGCATCGTGCTGTTGAAGCACCACCACAGACCTGAGGCCGGGTCCCCTGTCACACTCGGCAACCCTTCTTCAAAGCCCTCTTCCTCACACGGCTGAGGCCACCACTGGGACTGCTCCTAGATGGATCTCAGTGGCATTAAGCTGCACCTGAGCAAGTTTGTAGTGACTCACTGCACAGCACCCCCAGACTGGCATGTGGTTCTTTATTTGTAAAGTTATTGGGATAAGGAGCAATTAAACAGTTTGTAATAAACACAGGTGGTGAACCTGCTGTGCCCTCTGTCTTGCGGGAACTGAGAATAGCAAGGGCTCTAGAAGTGGATGTAGGAATAAAGGACAAGATAGCCTCACCCATAGTAGTATAGACCCAGGCTTGATGAAACCAAGGGGGGAGGACCAATCACCTTGCCCCTCTTTCCTGTCCCGGTTTGTAGTTTCTTTACCCAGCTAATGTAAGGACATGGCAGAATGTGATGGCTAATCCTGTGGTGTTTGATGACAGACCATATGAAAAATAGAGTTGGGTTTTATTGCTCCCATTTTACGGGTTAAGATACTAAAGGATCTGCCCCAAGGTCACACAATACCCATTGGAGAGGTAGGATATACAGGATATGAACCTGTGTTATTGAGATGTTTGTTTGGAGACAGAGTCTTGCTCTGTCGCCCAGGCTAGAGTGAAGCCTCTGCCTCAAGTGATTCTCCCGCCTCAGCCTTGCCAGTAGCTGGGACTAGAGGCTTGTGCCACCTCAGCAGCCTATTCTTTTTTTTCTTTTAAGTAGAGACAGGTCTACCTATGTTGCCCAGGGTCGTATCGAACTCCTGAGTTCAAGCAATCCTCCTGCCTGGGCCTTCCAAAGTGTTGGGATTACAGGCATGAGCCACTGCGCCCAGCCTGAACCAATGTTGTCTTTTTTTTTTTTTCCTGTCAACTGCGGAGATGTATGAACCTACGTTTTCTAATAGGGAGCCTGCTGCTCTGGCCATCAGCCTCTAGTTTTTCCCCTAGCTGGGATTTTCAGATACCTAGGACCCAGCAAAGGTGCCCAGGCGATTATACAGTGGGGAGGAGCAGAGGCTTCCGGTCTGGGGGAAGGGTACCAGTGTGGCAAGACTGGAGGCACTCCCTTCCCGACGTAGATGGGATCAAGGCTGGGCGTGCTGGGTGTTCCCAGGCGGAGCAAGGCTTGTAGCCTTAAGGAGAGTTCATCCCACGTGGGCGTTTTCTTGGCCCTTTAATGGGCAGCGTTTTCCAAAGGTCACCAATGTGCTACGGATTCGTTAGTAAATGGCAGCCTCGTCTACCAATCGGCTGTCAGAAGCAGGATCCTGCCGCCCAATACTGATGCGCCGGTGGGTAGGTCTAGTAGTGACGCAGCGCCAGAGCGCTCCGGAGCGTCCCATTGGCTGGATCAAACCCAAGCGAGCCACTGATTGGTCGATGCCCACAGAGGGTTACAATTCAAACGCGGGCGGGCGGGCCCGCAACCCTGCAGTTGCCGTCGTGTTCTCCGAGTTCCTGTCTCTCTGCCAGCGCCGCCCGGATGGCCTCCCAAAACCGCGACCCAGCCGCCACTAGCGTCGCTGCTGCCCGTAAAGGAGCCGAGCCGAGCGGGGGAGCCGCCCGGGGCCCCGTGGGCAAAAGGTGAGTGATGCGGGCTACCATTCGCCGGGCCTGCCATGCCCTAGGCAGAGGAAAGATTTCTAGGACCCCCAACCTCCTTCTGGAGCAAGAGATAGGCGGGTGCAGGAGAACACGCCGGGAGCTCGGCGCCTGGCATTCCCCTGGGGGTGCCGAGGGCGGAGACTTCCAGGACTCCCACCTCCTTGCGCTGGTGAGTTTGGGAGATGGACACGCCAGGAGCTCAGATCGCTCTTTGAGGTTCTCCCTAAGGAGAATGGGAGGGAAGGAGCGCTGCCAGGTTCCTTCCCTGAGTGGGCCTAAATGAGGGCAGCGCAAACACGCTCGTGACTTGGCGGGGACAGGGTAAGGGAGAAGTCGACGGCTCCCCCTGAGAGATTCAGGTGGGAGGGGATGCACCGTCTAGAGCCCTGGCCCATCCAGACTCCCAGGTAACCCGCCATGCTCTTTTTGCAGGCTGCAGCAGGAGCTGATGACCCTAATGGTGAGTGACTAAGCGCCCGGAACCCCAGCCGACTGATCCACCCTTCCACCCAATTATCAGTAGCCTCCTTTCCTACATCAGCTTTTTTGCTAGACATAGGAATAAAAAAATGAATGTAATTTGCTCCCTTTTGGGAAGAAGTTCGTACACCCCTCCTGCACCGTTTATTCCTCCCAATTCCATTCCCCTACATGAAGTTATCTCTAAAGCACTTGCCTGAAGTCATACAAGACCCTGCCTGTCCAGTGTATGCCTACTTCCTGGCCCCAACCAAGTTTATCCACACCCAACTTCCCACCCTTCTTGGTATTTCTAGCCTGTGAATGTGGTGGCTTTACTTTGGATAAGAGTGTGATGAGACTAAGGGGAGACCAGGTGCGGTGGCTCAAGCCTGTCATCCCAACACTTTGGGAGGCCAAGGTGGGCAGATCACTTGAGGTCAGGAGTTTGAGACCAGCCTGGCCAACATTGCAAAATCCCGTCTCTACTAAAAATATAAAAATTAGCCATGTGTGATGATGCATACCTGTAATTCCGGCTACTTGGGAGGTTGAGGCGCTAGAATCGCTTGAACCTAGGAGGCGGAGGTTGCAGTGAGCTGAGATCATGCCACTGTACTCCATTCTGGATGACAGAGCAAGTGTGTGTGTGTGTATTTTGGTAAAGATGGGGTAACCCCATTTATGTCATATGAATATATATATGTATGTATGAGGTTAAGGAGAAAGGTCTCACCCACTGACCTTTGCTATGCCCCAAAGTGTACTCCACACTCCAGCAAATGTGTTTCCTCTCCAGATGTCTGGCGATAAAGGGATTTCTGCCTTCCCTGAATCAGACAACCTTTTCAAATGGGTAGGGACCATCCATGGAGCCGCTGGAACGGTAAGTGTAGGGCTGGGTTGGGTGAGTGTGGCTTTTCGGAGTCTGGGGAAAGGTGGGAGGTGAGATCCAAGTGGGAGCTCTGCTTAAAGCCTTTGGCGGGGCAAGACACACCCCCTGTGACGTTCACATTCTCTGAGTCATGTGACCTTGTTCTCTTCCCCTGTGCAATGAGAGGGTGGGTTTAAAGCAGGGCTGTTGCCGGGCTAGGTGGCTCAAGCCTGTAATCCCAGCACTTTGGGAGGCCGAGGCGGGTGGATCACGAGGTCGAGAGATCGAGACCATCCTGGTCAACATGGTGAAACCCCGTCTCTACTAAAAAGACAAAACATTAGCTGGGCATGGTGGCGCGTGCCTGTAATCCCAGCTACTCAGGAGGCTGAGGCAAGAGAATTGCCTGAACCCAGGAGGCGGAGGTTGCGGTGAGTGGAGATCGCACCATTGCACTCCAGCCTGGGTAACAAGAGCGAAACTCCGCCTCAAAAAAAAAAAAAAAAAAAAGCAGGGCTGTTTGTAGGTGGCTGGACAGTAAGGAAATGGACAAAGTGAGGACTTTGGCCAGTAGGGGGCACAGATCTCCAGAAGGCAGCTTCCCATTGCTGCAGATCAGGTTTAAGATGAGTCAGAAGTCCAAATCTGTGCCAAATATCCAATTTTTACGTGTTAGCAACTATATTCTAATTGAACTAAAGCACAGGATGCCAATTTACAACTCTTAGACTGAAGAATCACTGATGTCTCCACCAGGTAAGAGGAAAGATCAGGCGAGGCACAGTGGCTCACGCCTGTAATCCCAGCACTTTGGAAGACTGAGGCAGGCAGACTGCATGAGCCCAGCAGTTTCAGACTAGCCTGAGCAACATGGTGAAACCCTGTCTCTAAAATTAAAATTCAAAAAATTATTTTAAAGTTAGGGGGAGCATCAGAACCAGCTCAACAGTTTGTCTACTGTCCACTCCCAGAGAAACTCAAGGCTCCAGCAAGCCCCTTATGTGAGGCTTGGGTTGGGATATAAGGCTACTGCTGGAGCTTACTCTGCGTCTATTTCTCCAAATGCCAGGTATATGAAGACCTGAGGTATAAGCTCTCGCTAGAGTTCCCCAGTGGCTACCCTTACAACGCGCCCACGGTGAAGTTCCTCACACCCTGCTACCACCCCAATGTGGACACCCAGGGTAACATATGCCTGGACATCCTGAAAGACAAGTGGTCTGCCCTGTATGACGTCAGGACCATTCTGCTCTCCATCCAGAGCCTGCTAGGAGGTGACTTTAGAGACCACCCTCTTCCCCTCCCATGCAACCTAGGAGTCTGTCAGGACTCCCCAGGGTCAGCATGTTCTACCTCCTTGACCTTCTCTTTTCTCTCCACCCATAGAACCCAACATCGATAGTCCCTTGAACACGCATGCTGCCGAGCTCTGGAAAAACCCCACAGGTGAGTCCTCAGTCCTCGAGTACAGGGTGATCCCTCCCCCAACCATCAAAGGCTCCCTCGAACAAACAGAGCCCAGTGACTTGGTTGGGGGAGGGCGGTGTGTTGGTGGTGGCACACTTGTGCTTCTGTCCCAGTGTTCCTATTTGCTATAAAATAGCAATTATTTTATAGCAAAATAAAACATTTTGTCTCGAAATAATTTAGAGAAATTATTGGGGAGGCCAAGGCAGGAGGATAGCTTAAGGCCAGGAGTTCGAGGTCACAGTGGACTATGATCACAACACTATACTCTCCAGCCTAGACAACAGAGTGAGACCCTATCTCAAAAAGGAGGAAGGTGGGATTAACCCCTTCTGTGTTAATGCAGATTAAGAGCTTGCTTAGTAGATTGCCTGGCCTGTGCCCTCTAGTCTCACTGGAAGCAAGCCCTTCCAGAGAGCGGCCTGGGTGGGCAGCAGAGGGAGAATGCCAGGCTGGGAAACCCAACCCTCCTCAGCCTCCTCCCACCTTTGCATCCCTGGTCAAGCTGCCCTCTTGCTCACCTTAATTAAGTCATCCTAGGCCAGGCACAGTGGCTCATGCCTATAATGCCAGAACTTGGGGAGGCCAAGGCATGTGGATCATATGTGGTCAGGAGTTTGAGACCAGCTGGCCAACACGGTGAAACCCCGTCTTTACTAAATTAAAAAAAAAAAAAAAAAAAAAAAAAACCATCTCTACTAAATACAAAAAAGTGATGGTGGGCACCTGTAGTCCCAGCTACTCAGGAGGCTGAGGCAGGAGACTCACTTGAATCTAGGAAGCAGAGGTTGCAGGAAGCAGACATCATGCTACTACACAGTTTGGTCGACAGAGTGAGGCTCTGTCTCACTAATAATAGTAATTAACAATAGGCTGCGTGCAATGGCTCTCGCCTGTAATCCCAACACTTTGGGAGGCTGAGGCTGGTGGCCTGCCTAAGCTCAGGAGTTTGAAACTAGCCTGGGAAACACGGTAAAATCCCGTCTCTACTAAAAAATACAAAAAATCAGCCAGGCTTGGTGGTATGCACCTGTAATCCTAGCTACTTGGGAAGCTGAGACAGGAGAATCGCTTGAACCCAGGAGGTGGAGGTTGCAGTGAGCCGAGATCACATCGCTGTACTCCAGCCTGGGCAACAGAGCAAGACTGAGTCTCAAAAAAGAAAAAAAAATTTTAAATAGTAAAAATTAACTCATCCTGTCTCCATCACTCACTGAGACCTGTCTGTTCTCTTCCAGCTTTTAAGAAGTACCTGCAGGAAACCTACTCAAAGCAGGTCACCAGCCAGGAGCCCTGACCCAGGCTGCCCAGCCTGTCTCGTGTCATCTTTTTCATTTTTCCTTCGGTGGTCTGTCCTTTTTGTGATTTCTGTATAGGCCTCTGTATCTTGAGCTGTGGTATTATTTTTGTTTTGTTTTGTCTTTTAAATTAAGCCTCGGTTGAGCCCTTGTGATGTATATTAAATAAATGCATTTTGGTCATTTTTTTAGACAAGGTGTGCCTTGCAGTTACACTAGGATTGGAGGTACTCAGGATAGGCAGGTGGGACTTAAGGATGTGGGGCCAAGCAGTGGGGTGACAAGGATTTATTCCCTTGTACCTTAGTTATTTTATGACTCCGCATCTGTTTCTTCAGCTATAAAATGAGTGTCACAATAATGCCTCTGTCTATGCCAGTGGCGACGTGTCCTGGAAATGCTAGTGAATGCTGGAGCTCCCCCAGCTGTGTTGCAGATGAGGCCGAGCCAGACCTTAGGCCGAAACCCGCTCCTCTAGCTGTAGAGGAAACAAGCGTGTGTGTTGAGGAGGATCAGCCACCCATGTTCTGCCCTGAAGAAGAATCCTCAGATCACCCTAAGCAGGTCCAGGGCCTGGGGAGACAGCCAGGAAAAAAGGCCCATCACTTCGTAGGACTCTCGGGGCTGACCTCTGGTCTCCAGGATTTAGCCCAGGTCCCCTGTGGAGCTCCACCTCCAAGGGGGCACATTCACTTCCTGCTGCACCTCCAAGGTTTTGGCTGCAAGCCCCCAACACCTTGGGCTGCCTCTTTCCCGTGGCCTGATGAAGTCTCCAGCCTTTGAACCCATAGGAGGAAATACCCCTACTGACCAGCTGGGTTCCTGCAAGGGTAGGAAGGGGGAAGAGTAGGTTGACATGATAGGGCCCCCTGCCCCCTCCCCCAAAGCACTTCAGGAAGATCTCCAAGGCAGAGGGCATTACCCAGATGTGCTCCAATCTTGCACCCAACTCCTTCAGGTCTGTTGGCTGGTTGTGCAGGCCTGAGGAGCGGGTATTGTGATGGGAAGTTGGGTCCCTTCATGGCTACAGTTGTGCTCTTAGCTCTCTCCTCTTAGGCCTTTTAATCTAACATGCATACAAAAAACACTTGGGATCTTGTAAAATTAAAATCTTTTCAGTAGGTCTGAAAATGGAGCCTAAGGTTCGGTTAGTTTATTTTAATTTCTAAATAGTAGTTTCCAAGTGATGTCATTGCTGCAGTCTGATTAAGAATAAAACTTAGGGCCTGGGCGCGGTGGCTCAAGCCTGTAATCCCAGCACTTTGGGAGGCCGAGGCGGGTGGATCACGAGGTCAAGAGATCGAGACCATCCTGGTCAACATGGTGAAACCCCGTCTCTACTAAAAATACAAAAATTAGCTGGGCGTGGTGGCGTGTGCCTGTAATCCCAGCTACTCAGGAGGCTGAGGCAGGAGAATTGCCTGAACCCAGGAGGCGGAGGTTGCGATGAGCCGAGATCGTGCCATTGTACTCCAGCCTGGGTAACAGGAGCGAAACTCCGTCTCAAAAAAAAAAAAAAAAAAAAGAATAAAACTTAGAGCAATGGGCTGGGTGCGGTGCACCTGTAATCCCAGCACTTTGGGAGGCCGAGGCAGGCAGATTACCTGAGGTTGAGAGTTCAAGACCAGTCTGACCAACATGGAGAAACCCCATATCTACTAAAAATACAAAAATAAACCAGGTATGGTGGTGCATTCCTGTAATCCCAGCTACTCAGGAGGCTGAGGCAAGAGAATCACTTGAACCCAGGAGGCGGAGATTGCAGTGAGCCAAGATTTGCACCATTGCATTCTAGCCTGGGCAACAAGAGCGAAACTGTCTCAAAAAAACAACAACAAAAAAAAGTTAGAGCAGTATTCTTAGAATTGGTCCTTCCAGCAGCAGCAGCATCACCTGGAACTTGTTAGGCAAATTCTTGACGCCAAACTGCCCTCCAGGTTTTGAGGCTGTCCCAAGTTTGAAAATTGCCAGGTTAGCAGATACTGGAGAAAAGCAGAGCTCAGAACCTGGCACTAAATTGGTTAAATGCTGTCCAGGGCCAAGTATGGTGGCTCACTGCCTGTAATCCTAGCACTTTGGGAGATGGAGGCAGGAGGATTGCTTGAGTTTAGGGGTTCAAGCTCAGCCTAGGCAACACAGTAAGATCCCTTCTCAAATAATAAATTTTAAAAGAAAAATAAATAAATGCTGGCCGGGCATGGTGGTTCACATCACCAGTCCCAACAACTTGGGAGGCCAAGGGGGGAGGACCACTTGGGGCCAGGAATTCAAGGTTACAGTAAGCTTATGATTGCAGCACTGCACTCCAGCCTAGGCAGCAGAGTAAGACCTTATCTCTAAAAGAAATGTTTCAAGTGGATGTGTTTTTGTCTGCCATGTGGTCCTTGATCATGGTGTTTGGCACCCTACATGGCCACGTGGCCTACCTTGGCCCAGTCACAGGTCTAAACTGTAGCTCAGATCCAATCAGTGTTCTCTGGAATTAATCACTGGTAAAGTTATTTTATTAATGGGGTTGCTAAAAGAGAAGGGAGTCAGTTTCAGCTGCTGGGGGAAGTCTGCTGCAGATGGAAGAAAGCCAAGCAGAGACAAATAGCTGGGACTGGGAGAGATGACATTAACTGAAACTCTGGCCTCCAGCTCATCCTTTGGCATCCCAGTTCCATGAACCAACAAATCTCTTTTTGGTTTAAATCCGTTTGATCTAGATTTCTGGCACTTGCAACAAGAAGAAGCCTGGTCGGAAAGTATTTGAATTTCTGATTATGATTCCCATTTTATCGAATTCCTACAAGATAAAGGCCCTCTGCTTGGGGCTGGGGACAAAACGGAAAAGGACACAGCCCTGAAAGAGGCTGGAGTTTAGGGGATAGACAGGCCTATCAACACGGGGAATAAGTGCCATACAGTGACTCAGAGCTCAGACCAGGGCCTGCGCAGTGGCTTGTGCCTGCAATCCCAGCACTTTGGGAGGCCTAGGCGGGAACACCTGAGATGAGGAGTTCAAGACCAGCCTGGCCAACATGGTGAAACCCCGTCTCTACTAAAAATACAAAAAATTGGCTGGGCATGGTGCAGGTGCCTGTAATCCCAGCTACTCTGGAGGCTGAGGCAGGAGAATCGCTTGAACCTGGGCAGCAGAGATAGTAGTGAGCCAAGATCACCCATTGCACCACTCCCGCCTGGGCAACAAGAGCAAGACTGTCTCAAAAAAAAAAGAGCTCAGACCAGGTGGGTAGAACTGTTTCAGATCCTGGCTCCACCTCCATGTTGCCCATAAACACATAGGCAGTTACATTTAACCTCTCCATGAAATGAAAATAATACTAGTACCTACCTCATAAGACAGTGGAAGGACCTTAGAACAATGCCTGGCACATAATAAGCACTCAATTAATGGTGCTGAACTCACATACTATGAAAGTTCATAGGTGGGGCACCTAATAAAATAGGGTTAGGGAAAGGCTTTTGGACAAGGGAATTGAGCCCTAAGGGAGATACACATTCTTTGGATAGCAAGTTCAGGAGTATGGTAAGGAGTGGAATACAGAGCTGGGCACGGTGGCTCACACCTGTAATCCCAGCACTTTGCGAGGCTGAGGAGAGCAGATTACCTGAGGTGTGGAGTTCAAGACCATGCTGGTCAACATGGTGAAATCCCATCTCCACGAAAAATAGAAAAACTAGCTGGGCGTGCTGGCATGGTGAAACCCCGCCTCTACTAAAAGAATCTCTTGAACCCAGCAGGCAGAGGTTGCAGCAAGCCAAGATCGTGCCTCTGCGCTACAGCCTGGGTGACAAGTGTCAAATTCTAGCTCGAAAAAAAAAGAGAGGACTACAGGATCGCATAGATGTCAGGTCATGATGGGCTGGAAGGCCATATTAAGATACTTGGGCTAGCCTGGGTCACAAAGTGAGACCCCCATCTCTACAAAAAATAAAAATAACCAGGGGCTAAGGGGACAGGATCACTTGCACCGAGGAGTTTGAGGCTGCAGTGAGCTATGATAGTGCCACTGCACTTCAGCCTGTGTGATAGGGAGACTCAGTCTCTGAAAAAAACAAAAACAAAAACAAAAACAAAAAAAAACACAAAACTTGGGCTTTATCTTGAGGCAACAGCAAGCTAATGAAGCCTTGAGCAGGGCAGTGACATGATCCCATTTGTTTTTATAAACATCTCCTTGGCTATGGTCTGGGGAGCGAATGGCAGGAAGGAGATAACTCCTGTTATCAAGAGCCAGGCAAGCAATGATGCTGACCTGAGTTATACTAATGGGCATGGAGAGGAGGGATGGAGTGGCAAGGAGACAGTAGTCAGGGGTAGTTAGTAGGCAGAGGTAGAGAAGGAGCACCAGAATTTCTGACTTGGTCCCCGACCTCAGGGAACCATCCCTGTGATAGAAAACACAGGAGGCTGAGTGTCGTGGTTCACGCTTGTAATCTCAGCACTTTGGGAGGCCGAAGCAGGCGGATCATGAGGTCAGGAGATCGAGAGCATCCTGGCTAACACAGTGAAACCCCATCTCTACTAAAAATACAAAAAATTAGCCAGATGTGGTGGCATGCACCTGTAGTCCCAGCTACTCAGGAGGCTGAGGCAGGAGAATCGCTTGAACCTGAGAGGCAGAAGTTACAGTGAGCCAAGATCGCGCCACTGCACTCCAGCCTGGGCAACAGAGCAAGACTCGGTCTCAAAAAAAACAAAAGAAAAGAAAACACAGGAGGACAAGATGGAGGGGGAAGGGAACTCATCAGATTAGGACAGGACAAGCTTGAAGTGCTCAAAACATCCAGATAGGGCCAGGAATGGTGGTTCATGCCTTTAATCACAGCACTTTGGGAGGCTGGAGTGGGCAGATTGCTTGAGCGCAGGTGTTCAAGACCAGCATGGGCAACATGGTGAAACTCCACCTATTTTATTATCTTATTTTCTTTTATTTATTTTTTAAGACAGAGTCTCACTGTCACCCAGGCTGGAGCTCAGTGGCGCAATCTTGGCTCAATGCATCCTCCACCTCTTGGGTACCAGTGATTCTCCTGCCTCAGCCTCTCGAGTAGCTAAGATTACAAGCATGCGCCCAGCTAATTTTTATATTTTTAGTAGAGAGGGTTTTTTCCATGTTGGCCAGCCTGGTCTCAAACTCCTGGCCTCAAGTGATCCACCTGCCTCGGCCTCCCAAAGTGCTGGGATTACAGGCATAAGCCACAACCTCTAACTCTATTTGAAAACGTGTATATTTCAAAAAAAAAAAAAGATATCCAGGTAGAACCAATAACAGGTAGATGGCATTAGAGTTAAAAGCCTTGCTCCTGTGCACACCACACAGCACATAGCGATACCACCTAGGTTATTACCTAGGTGCCTATGTACATCACCTCCCTAGGCCTGAGTTTTCCGACTATAAAATGGGGCTGATAGCAGCATCTGCCTCTAGGGATGTTGAGTGAATAAGACAATGTCTGTAAGCCACAGTACACAGTAGGCACTTAATAAATAGTAATGATTATAAAACCCCAGCACTGATCCTGGCTGGAAATAAAAATGGAAAAACATGAACGGGACAGAAAAGGAAGAAGAGAAAAAGACAGATGGAGAGGAAGAACTAAAGCAATGGGTAAGGTGACAATAGAGGTTGGGCACAGTGGCTCAGGCCTATGATCCCAACACTTTGGGAGGCCGAGGTGAGATGATCCCTTGAGCTCAGGAGTTTGCAACCAGCCCGGGGAACAGAGAGAGACTCCAGCTCTGCTGAAAATTAAAACAACCAGTGGGGGAGTTGGGGGGTCACGTGTCTGTAGTCCCAGCTACTCAGAAGGCTAAGACAGGAGGATCGCTTGAGCCCAGAAGGTCAAGGCTGCGGTGAGCTGTGATCACTCACTGCACTCCAGCCTGGACAACAGAGCAAGACCCTGTCTCATTTAAAAAGCCAAACAGAAGGCCAGGCATGGTGGGTCAGGCCTATAATCCCAGCACTTTGGGAGACCTAGGCAGGCGGAACACCTAAGGTCAGGAGTTCAAGACCAGCCTGGCCAACATGACAAAACCTGGTCTCGCCGGGCGCGGTGGCTCAAGCCTGTAATCCCAGCACTTTGGGAGCCTGAGGCGGGTGGATCACGAAGTTGAGAGATCGAGACCATCCTGGTCAACGTGGTGAAACCCCGTCTCTACTAAAACAAAAAAAATTAGCTGGGCATGGTGGCACGTGCCTGTAATCCCAGCTACTTAGGAGGCTGAGGCAGGAGAATTGCCTGAACCCAGGAGGCAGAGGTTGCAGTGAGCCGAGATCGCGCCATTGCACTCCAGCCTGGGTAACAAGAGCGAAAACTCCGTCTCAAAAAAAAAAAAAAAACAAAGAACTGGTCTCTACTAAAAATACAAAAATTAGCCAGGCATGGCACAGGTGCCTGTAATCCTAGCTGCTCAGGAGGCTGAAGCAGAAGAATCGCTTGAACCCAGGAGATGGAGGTTGCAGTGAGCCAAGATCGTGCCACTGCACTCCAGCCTGGGTGAAAAGAGCAAAACTCTGTTTCAAAAAAAAAAAAAAAAAAAAAATGCTTGCTATGTTCCAGGCACTGCTGTGAGCACTTTGTACACACTAACTTCTCACGACCTGAGTGTACTATCATTATCCCCATTTTACAGATGAGGAAACTGAGGAACAGAGTGGTTTAGTTTGTCACAGGCAGTGAGCACTCACACTTAGGCAGTCTGACTCTAAAGCTAAACTAACCCCTACATTTAATCAGCTGTGATCTGATACCCATTATATACAAATCGCTATGGGAGCAAATAGCCAGTGAGGGTAGGGTTCAAGGGAGGAGATGGTATCTGAGCTGGGTCTTGTAGATTGAAGAATCTGCCAGCTTATAAGAAGGACAAGGGCATTCCAGAGAGGGCAAAAAGCATGTGTAAAGTCCCAAGGGCTTGAAAATGTACCCCAGGTCCATATCAGACATAAACGGCCCAGAGTGGCTGCAGTCCTGTGAGGACTATGGGAAGGAAGGGAGGAAGAGAGGAGAGGAGGAAGGGAGGGAGGGAGGGAGGGAAGGAATTTGGATCTCATTCTAGAAGCAGTGAGGAGCCTTGAAGTACTTTCAACAGGGCAGTGGCCAGGTCGGATATTTTAGCTCCCTGGTGCTGGTGGCCCTCTGTAGAGCACACTGGCAGAGACCGGGTGGAGGCAGGGATGTGGGGTCAAATGATGAGATCAGAATCTCCTTTGTGGATACCTCCACCATCCCCTACCACCACCAGCAGGAAGCCAGCAGTAAGCACTTGGAAGAACAGAGGAAGGAGGAGGTCAAGCAGAAACAATGCTGCCCAGCGTGGATGAGCACCTACTCCCCCTTTCCCCAGCTAGGGAGCCTGCAGGAGGTGGGAGCTACAACACCCAAGACCAAAATGTTCCAGTAAAGACGGATGTGGGGAAGTGAGGGAGCTCCCCTGCTCCTCCCCTCTGGTGGGGGCAGCCTCCTGCCACCCCCTCACCCTACCTGCCCTCTGGAGACCCCTCCAAAGTCCGCCGGCTCACCCTGACTCAGCACCAAGCACCTGCGGCCTCCTGTCCGCCACCACCCAGCCACCACCGCCACCGGTCCTCCAAGTTGCCCACGCCCGCGCCAGCTGTCGGGAGGCTGCTGAGAACCCTCAGAGTGCATTGGTGATGCCTGGACTTGGGCACTCACAGCTGCCACCTCAGGCTCTGGGACCCAGCTCCATTCTACATCCCACTGCTTCTCCCGGGGATCCCCGAGGGTGCTCCGGGTGGTGCCAGCCCTTGAGACCCACTGTCCCTGGCTCTCCCCTCATTCAGGCAAGTTTTGGAACATTTGCTTTTATTCCTTCCAGACAAAGACCCACGAGGGGCCGCACTTCCCTGGTGGGGACCCGGTGGAGCGGAGTCTCCCAGGCCTTAGGGATGCGCGATCTTGGTGGAGGCGATTGTCCACTCCTTATTGCACACCCTCCATCATCTTCAGGAACTCTGCGGGAAAGGAGAGGGAGAGGGTCACAGGTCCCACCTGGCAATGAAAAGGCCAGGCCAGGGCTCCAGCATTCAGAGGGGATGACTTTTTTGTTTGTTTTATGTTTTTGTTTGTTTGTTTTGAGACGGAGTCTGGCTCTGTTGCCCAGGCTGGAGTGGAGTGGCACAATCTCGGCTAACTGCAACCCCGCCTCCCAGGTTCAAGCGATTCTCCTGCCTCAGCCTCCCGAGTGGCTGGGACTACAGGTCCCTGCCACCACACCTGGCTAATTTTTTGTATTTTTAGTAGAGATGGGGTTTCACTATGTTAGCCAGGATGGTCTCGATCTCCTGACCTCGTGATCCACCCACCTTTGCCTCCCAAACTGCTGGGATTACAGGCGTGAGCCACTGCACCCGGCCTTGTTTCTTGTTTGTGTTGAGACAGGGTCTCACTCTGTTGCCAAGGCCTGTCGCCCAGGCTAGAGTACAGTGGCACAATCATAGCTCACTGCAGCCCGGACCTCCTGGGCTCAAGTGATCCTCCCACCTCAGCCCCTGGAGCAACTGGGATCACAGGCGTGCCACCACGCCTGGCTTTTTACTTTTTGTAAAGACAGGGTCTCTTGGCCAGGCGTGGTGGCTCACGCCTATAATCCCAGCACTTTGGGAGGCCGAGGCGGGTGGATCACGAGGTCAAGAGATCGAGACCATCCTGGTCAACATGGTGAAACCCCGTCTCTACCAAAAATACAAAAAAATTAGCTGGGCATGGTGGTGCGTGCCTGTAATCCCAGCTACTCAGGAGGCTGAGGAAGGAGAATCGCCTGAACCCAGGAGGCGGAGGTTGCGGTGAGCCGAGATCGCGCCATTGCACTCCAGCCTGGGTAACAAGAACGAAACTCCGTCTCAAAAAAAAAAAAAAAAAAAAAAAAAAAAAAAAGACAGGGTCTCACTATGTTGCCCAGGCTGGTCTCAAACTCCTGTCCTCAAGCAATCCTCCCGGCTCGTCCTGCCAACGTGCTGGGATTTTACAGGCCTGAGCCACCGCGCCCTGCTGCCTGGTCACTAATTGACAGACTGCACAGAGTCGTTGGAGCGCTTCTATACCAACACTCAGGAGACTAGGAGGAACTTGGTGAGGTTACGCCCCGCCCCGCCCACAAGGCCAAAGACAGCGCACGGGAGCCAGCCAGCGGCACCAGTACCCGCCGCCCCTGTGGCTCCCACCCTCTCTTCCCAAGCTGCCACGGCCCTCACCGTCGAAGTCAATGCGGCCGTCGTTGTTCTTGTCCCCGTCTTTCATCAGAGATTCGATCTCCTCGTCCGTCACGTGCTCCCCAGAGGCCTTGAAAATCTCAGCCAGCTCCTCCGCGTCGATGTAGCCGTCTGCGTTCCTTCGAGTCCGAGGGATAGGGAAGGGCTCAGGACCGGGGCGAGCTGCCCTGGTTACGCTTGATGCCCCGTCCCCCCCACACCCCCAATCCGGGAACCTTCCGGCGCCACCGGTCGGGCTCTGACTGCTCAGCCCCTCCCTCGGCTCCCAGGTCCCCAGCGCACCTGTCGAAGATGCGGAAGCACTCGGCCAGCTCCTCCTCGCTCTTCCCCTTCGCGTCCTCTTTCATCTGGCGCACCATCATGACCAAGAACTCCTCGAAGTCAATGGTGCCGCTGCCTGGGGGGAGCAGGCGGTGGACTGAGCCTGAGCCCGGCCGCCGCTGCCTCTCCCCACCATCCCCCGCCTCCGAGGGCCAGCCGCTCACCGTCCTCGTCCACCTCCTCGATGATGGCGTCCAGCTCCTCCTTGGTGGGTGTCTGGCCCAGCATCCTCATCACGGTGCCCAACTCCTTGACGCTGATGTCCCCACCACCATCAGCATCAAACATGTCAAAGGCAGCCTTGAACTCTGCGAGGGAGAGCAAAGGGCAGAGGTGAGGCCGGCTGGACTGTCAGCCTCACACCTACCCCTGAACCCTGCCCGGAGGCCAACAGGTTCCCAGCACACACATCCACCCCGCCCCCAGCCTGCCGGCCTCACTCACCGGCGATCATCTCCTCGCTGAGGTAGGACCGGGCCTCAGCCTGCTGGTCCGTCTGCAGGAGACACAGAGAAGAAGTCAGCTGAAGAGGCAACCCTAGAGCAGCTCCTCACCTCTACCCCATTCACCCCAACCCCCACTCTACCAGCGCCCCTTGGTCCTCCAGAAGAACAACTTCAAACTCATCACATATTTGTGTGCCACCATAGCACCCAATCAGTTTTGTTTTGTTCAGAAGACAAGGTCTCGCTCTGTCACACAGGCTGGATGTGTAGTATGATCACAACTCACTGCAGCCTTGACCTCCTGGTCTCAAGCGAACCTCCTGCCTCAGCCTCCTAAGTAGCTGGGACTAGTGTACACCATGTCTGGCTAATTTTTTAAATTTTTGGTAGAGATGGGGTCTGACTATATCGCCCAGGCTGGTTTAGAACTCCTGGGCTCAAGTGATCCTCCCGCCTCAGCCTCCCAAAGTGCTAGGATTACATGCTTGCGCCACTGCGTCCAGCTTCTGACCCCCGTTTTTTGTTTTTGTTTTTTGAGACGGAGTCTCACCCTGTCACCCAGGCTGGATGGAGTTCAATGGTGGGATCTCAGCTCACTGAAACTTCTACCTCCCAGGTTCAAGCAATTCTCCTGCCTCAGCCTCCTAAGTAGCTGGGATTACAGGTATGTGCCATCATGCTCCCACCTCCCTGCTCCCCAGCTGAGTTTTGTATTTTTAGTAGAGGCGGCGTTTCACCATGTTGGCTAGGATGGTCTCGAACTCCTGACCTCAGGTGATCTGCTCACCTCAGCTTCCCAAAGTTCTGGGAGCCACCGTGCCCAGCCTGACGCCAGTTTTGAGAAAAAGAGAGGAGACAGCAAATTAAGACCAAGGCCTTCTCACTTGTCAATTGAAGGCCAAGTCAGGAATCCCCCCAGTGACCTTAGGCAAGTCACTTAGTGTGCCTTCATCTCTTCTCTGTAGCTTTTCAGGGATGAGATATCAGGGGTGTGAAAGGGCTTTGTAAAGGGCTAGCACCATTCCAGCACTATTTTCCAGTTTTCTCTAGCTCCTAATGGTGCCCAGTACTTTAATAGTTGCTCAATAAAATGTTTGTTCTCAGGTAAATAATAATGCAACACAAGCCGCGCACAATGGCTCACCCTGTAATCCCAGCACTTTGGGAGGCTGAGGCGGGTGGATCACGAGGTCAGGAGTTTGAGACCAGCCTGGCCAACATAGTGAAACCCCATCTCTACTAAAATTACACAGAATTAGCCAAACGTGGTGGCGGGCGCCTGTAATCCCAACTACTCAGGAGGTTGAGGCTGGAGAATCACTTGAACCTGGGAGTCAGAGGTTGCAATGAGCTGAGAGCACTCCCTTGCACTCCAGCCCTGTCGACAGTGTGAGACTCCAACTCAAAAACAAACAAAAAAACAAACAAACAAAACACGTTATTGAGCACTTGCTGCATGTCAGGCCACAGATCAGGCACTGGGACCACCAAGAAGAGAGAGATGATACATCCTCCTGCCCCTCAGAGAAATGGCGGAGTCGGAGATCAGCTTTCTTCTTAGGATTCAGTCACTGGAGAAAAGGCCTCTCATACTGGGCAGAATGTGAAGGAGGCCTTGACATGAAAGTGAGGTTTCTGTGGGGGCTTCCAGGTCACATCCAAGCCAGGCCAGCTGGGTCGGAGGCTTTGGGCTGAAGCTGGCAGTGAGGATGGGGTGAGGCTTCCAAGGAGCTCTTCAGCCTGCTGGCCGCCGGCCCTCCTCCTTCTCCCCCTCCTTCCTCTCTTCCTCTTTCCCTGTGCCAGGAGGGCAGGCTATTTTTAGTCAGGCCTGGGCAACAGCAGCTGGCCTCTGGGATCTAGTTACTCCTTGAGGTGAAGTGAGGAGGGGGCTCTCAGACGAAAACCACAGCTCCAACTCAGAACCCCCTCTAGGAGAGCAGGGTGTCTCTAACTCTGGTCTGTCATCTTCTTCCCATCGTCCTCAGCAGCCCCGGAGCCCTGCATCTGAGCGGGCCCCACGCCCTGCAGACCTCTCGTCTTCTGGAGGAGCCTTTCTTCTCTCCATGATGGTAGGAGGGTTTGGCCAGGTGTCCGGCTCACCCCTGCCACTGGCTTGCTGGGTGACTCACTCTGACCCCCTAGGGTCCCCACTATGTGAAGGAAGCAAGCTAAGAGCTCTTCACAGGTCTATGAATGACAGTGCTGGAAGTTTCCAAAGGTGCATATGCAGTCAGCAAGCCTTGACCGTCAATCTCTGGAACACCCCAGCCCTCCCCTTGCAAGAAAAGTCAAAGGCCTTCCTCCAAGACACCTGGGTTCCAGGAACCTCCTTGCTCCAACCTCAGACATCCAAGTTACTGCCCCATAGAGCACCCAGGCCTGGCCTCAAAGACGTCCAGAGTGTTCCCACGAGTGAAGCCACAAAGTCCCCTCTTGTCCTTACCATGGTTGCTGGTGACCGGGTCTCCCCTGCTGCAGGTCGCCTCCTTTGCACTCCACCACCCAAAGATGCCCTGGCCTGCTCTAGCCCCTGGGATTTGTAGGGGCACCCTCCCCTCCCACCTCCCTGCTCCCCAGCACTGGATACCCTACCCAATCAGATCCTGGGGTCAGCGAGCCCCACCCTCCCAACAGTCCGAACCCATTACCTAATTTAGCCAAGGGCCCTTGCAGAGAAATTTAAGCCTTTGAGCAGGTGGCAGGCCTTGACGTCCTAGATTCTTGTGAGGAAGACCCGCCCTGTTCCACCGCCTTGGAGTCCCCCTGCACTCCCCACCTCCCTAAGGAAGCACACTGACTCCAAGATGGTAAGGACAATCAGAGTAGTAAAGAGGGAGGCAGCAGGGTAAAATGGGGAGAGTACAAGCCCTGAAGTCCAAAACCCGACATGCAAGGCCAGCCTCTGCGAGCTGTGTGACCTTGGGCAGGTGGCAATGCCTCTCTGAGCCATTTCCTCATCTGTAGGATGGACCTCTCTGTGGGGTCTCCCTCACAGAGAAGCCACAGTAAATGGGAACCCAGGTATAAGTCACCTAGCTTGTGCCAGGTATACAGGGTTAGTGCTTGGCAAGAGGAATGTCCTGTCTTTGAACCATGGAGAGGGGTAGGGGATAGAAGGAGGAGAAAGTGACAGCTAGGCCACTATTTACTGAACCTCCACGACGTGCCACACACTGTGCTAAGCATTTTAACATGATCTCATCTAGTGCTCCTCCTATGAGATAGCAACTATTATTATCCCCATTTGACTGCAGAGCTTTGTAAATCATAAAGGTTTATACTCACTCTGTCACCAAGGCTAGTGTGCAATGGTGCTGTTACAGCTCACTGCAGCCTCAATCTCCTGGGCTCAAGTGATCCTCCACCCTCAGCCTCCCGAGTAGCTGGGACTAGAGGTGCACCACCATCCCTGGTTTTTTGTTGTTGTCTGGTTTGTTTTGTTTTGTTTTTGTATTTTTTGTAGAGATGATGTTTTACCATGTTGACCAGGCTGGTCTCGAACTCCTGGGCTGAAGGGATCCTTCCACTTTGGCCTCCCAAACTGCTAGCATCACGGTCATGAGACACCATGCCCACCTATGTTGATGATTCTTCTTTTTCTTCATATTATTTTTGGAGATGGAGTCTCGCTCTGTCGCCAGGCTGGAGTGCAGTGGTGCGATCTCGGCTCACTGCAACCTCTACCTCCTGGGTTCAAGCAATTCCCCTGCCTCAGCCTCCCGAATAGCTGGGACTACAGGTGCGTGCCACCACACCCAGCTAATTTTTTGTATTTTAGTAGAGACAGGGTTTCACCATGTTGGCCAGGATGGTCTCCATCTCCTGACATCTTGATCTGCCCACCTTGGCCTCCCCAAGTTCTGGTATTATAGGCGTGAGCCAGCATGCCTAGCCCAGATGATTCTTTTTTTTTTTTGAGACAGAGTTTCGCTCTTGTTACCCAGGCTGGAGTGCAATGGCGCGATCTCGGCTCACCGCAACCTCCGCCTCCTGGGTTCAGGCAATTCTCCTGCCTCAGCCTCCCGAGTAGCTGAGATTACAGGCACGTGCCACCATGCCCAGCTAATTTTTTGTATTTTTAGTAGAGACGGGGTTTCACCATGTTGACCAGGATGGTCTCGATCTCTTGACCTCGTGATCCACCCGCCTCGGCCTCCCAAAGTGCTGGGATTACAGGCTTGAGCCACCGCACCCGGCGCCCAGATGATTCTTATTATTAATTCCGACTGGAGGGAAGTCGGGACACAGTCCTCTGGGTACCTGGGCAGATGGAAAACTGCCTGGAGGGATGGAGGAGAGGAGGATGTGCATTTGGAGGAGAAATGATCATTGAAAGCAAAGATCCTTCTTTCAAAGTTACTTTCTCCAGGGAAAGGGTGTTTGGATTCACTTTTTGGGGTGGAGAGTAGGAAGGGGAAGGTTCTTTAAGTGGTAAAAGGGCAGCTGGCCCCTTCCTAGAGCTCAGTGAAGAAATCTGGTCATCTAGGAAGTAAAGGGGTAGGCAGATCAAGTCCAGAGGGAGCCCACCCTCAGAATCCACGAGGTGCAGACTGGGCACCGGCTAGTAAGGCAAGGCTTGTGGACAGTGGCTACGTCGACAGAAAGAGCACCAAGACAACCGAGAGCAGCTCCAGGGCCAGGAAAGCGGGGCAGGACACCAAGGAAGATAGATGGACAGTGGCAACTGGGCTGCCCCCTTCCCCTATATATAGACATTCCCAAGGAAAGTTCAGCAGGGCCATGCCAAGCTAAATAAGGCCTCCCCAGGCAGTCAGGGAGCCAAAGGGTGAGACCCATGGGATTCCAATTCCAATTTGGTTATTTTTGCTTTTTGGGTTTTGTTTTGTTGTTTTTGAAATAGTCTCACTCTGTCACCCAGGCTGGAGTGCAGTGGCACAATCTTGGCTCACTGCAACCTCCACCTCCCGGGTTCAAGTGCTTCTCTTACCTCAGCCTTCTGAGTAGCCGGAATTACAGACACATACCACCACACCTGGCTTTTTTTTTTTTTTTTTTTTTTAGGCGAAGTCTTGCTCTTGTTGCCCAGGCTGGAATGCAATGGTGTGATCTCAGCTCACCACATCCGCCTCCCAGGTTCAAGAGATTCTCCTGCCTCAGCCTCCCCATTAGCTGGGATTATAGGCATGTGCCACCACGCCTGGCTAATTTTGTATTTTTTTTTTTTTTCGGTCCAGACCGAACTGAACGTCAGGGGTGGGAACTGGGAGGGGGAAAGGGGAGAAAGCGTGAGGGCCTAATTTTGTATTTTACGTAGAAACAGTGTTTCTCCATGTTGGTCAGGCTGGTCTCGAACTCCCAAACTCACGTGATCCACCCACTTTTGCCTCCCAAAGTACTGGGATTACAGGCATGAGCCACTGTGCCCAGCCAATTTTTGTATTTTTCATAGAGACAAGGCTTCATCATGTTGGCAAGGCTGGTCTCGAACTCCTAACCTCGCTCAAGTGACCCTCCAGCCTCCCAAATTCCTGAATGTGGCCAAGCAAGGTCCCACTGGCCCTTCTAATCTCCCTCTTCCTCTCCTTCACATTGTTTTGCTGTCTGTCTGGTCAGACTTTAAAATACTGCTCTAAACACTACCTTTTGTGAACCTTCAGGCCTTTGGCATATGCTGTTTTTTTCTGCCAGAAACTCCCATACGCCCTCTCTTTATCTGTCTACTTCCCTATCACCTTTCTCAGCTCGGGCATCACTTCCTAGGAGATCCTTCCTCCCCTATGTCCAGGCCAGGGAGTCCAAGGTGGTCCCCAGTAGTTTCCTCAATCATAGCACTGAGCACTCCTTATGATGACAACCCATTCAATGTTTCACAGATCATCACATTTTCCAGTACTCAGCACTTGCCACACAGCAGGTGTTCAACAGATATTATATTCTACATAAGAATAACTGGGCTGGCCGGGCGCAATGGCTCACACCTGTAATCCCAGCACTTTGGGAGGCCGAGGTGGGTGGATCACGGGGTCAAGAGATCGAGACCATCCTGGTCAACATGGTGAAACCCCGTCTCTACTAAAAATACAAAAAATCAGCTGGGCATGGTGGTGCGTGCCTGTAATCCCAGCTACTCAGGAGGCTGAGGCAGGAGAATTGCCTGGACCCAGGAGGCGGAGGTTGCGGTGAGCCGAGATCGCGCCATTGTACTCCAGCCTGGGTAACGAGCGAAACTCCGTCTCAAAAAAAAAAAAAAAAAAAGAATAACTGGGCCAGGCATGGTGGCTCACACCTGTAATCCCAGCACTTCGGGAGGACAAGGCAGGCACATCACCTGAGGTCAGGAGTTGGAGACCAACCTGACCAACATGCTGAAACCCCGTCTCTACTAAAATACAAAATTAGCTGGGCATGGTGGCATATGCCTATAATCCCAGCTACTCGGGAGGCTGAAGCAGGAGAATCACTTGAACCTGGGAAGCGGAGGTTGCAGTGAGCTGAGATCACGCCATTGCACTCCAGCCTGGGCAACAAGAGTGAAACTCTGTCTCAAAAAAAAAAAAAAAAGAAAAGAAAAGAAAAAGAAAAGAATAACTGAACTGGATGGTATTTAGTTCAATGTAAGGGGGAACTTCCTAATAGTCATGGTTGAACAAAAATGGGAAGAGGCAGCCTCAGAAGGTAATGAGCTCACTGTCGCTGAGTATATGCAAGCAGTAGATAGATGACCATTTCTCAGGAAGGCTGCAGGAGATATCCATACAGAGTTTAAAAATGAGAACAGTGGCTCACATTTGTAATCCTAGCACTTTGGGAGGCAAGATCCTATCTCCAATAAAATAAATAAATAAATAAAATGAAGAATGGTGGATGGTGGCTCATGCTTGTAATCCCAGCACCTTGGGAGGCAGAGGTAGGAAGATCTCTTCAGGCCAGGAGTTCAAGATCAGCCTGGGCAACATGAAACCCCACATTTACAAAAAATAAAATATTAGCCAGGCATGGTGGCACATATCTGTAGTCCCAGCTACTTGGGAGGCTGAAGTAGGAGAATAACTTGAGTCCAGCAGTTTGAGGCTGCAGTGAGCCATGATTGCACCACTGCACTCCAGCCTGGCCAACAGAGCAAAACTCTGTCTCTAAAAAAGGAAGAAGAGGCTAGGCACAGTGGCTCACGCCTGTAATCCCAGCATTTTGGGAGGCCAAGGCAGGTGGATCATTTGAGGTCAGGAGTTCGAGACCAGCCTGGCCAAGATGGTGAAACCCTGTCTCTACTAAAAATCCAATAATTAGCCAGGCGTGGTGGCACGTGCCTGTAATTCCAGCTACTAGGGAGGCTGAGACAGGAAAATCATTTGAACCTGGGAGGTGGAAGTTGCAATGAGCCGAGGTTGTGCCATTGCACTCCTGGGTGATGGAGTCAAACTCTGTCTCAAAAATAAAAATAAAAATAAGTCCGGGCGCAATGGCTCATGCCTGTAATACCAACACTTTGGGAGGCTGAGGCAGGTGGATGACGAGGTCAGGAGTTCTGGACATGCCTGACCAACATGGAGAAACCCTGTCTCTACTAAAAATACAAAAATTAGCCAGGTGTGGTGGCAAATACCTGTAATCCCAGCTACTTGGGAGGCTGAAGCAAGAGAATCGCAGGTTGCAGTGAGCCCAGATTGCGCTACTGCACTCCAGCCTGGGTGACA